CTTCCTGGTGAGCGGTTTCTTGACTTGGAGTATGCGGACGATATTGCCCTAATCTGTGACAGCTTCCAAACATGCAAAGCAGCATTGGACCGATTAGCACTGGCTGTCAATCGTTTTGAGCTATACTTTGCTCCATCGAAATGCAAAGTACTTCTCCAAGATAAGCAGGGACCCATCCATTCACTGACGCTTGGTTGTGATCACCTAGAATTCGTTCAGGAATTCAAGTACCTGGGCAGCCATATTAGCGCCCGTGGGATCGAAGATGAGGTTACAAACCGTATAGCAAAACCTCGAGTTGCTTTTGCCAATCTCCGACACCTGTAGCGCAGACGCGACATTACACTTGCCCTGAAGGGCAGAGTTTATAACGCAGCCGCCCGTTCAAACCTGCTGTACGGTTGTGAAACCTGGCCCATCAGGCCGACAGACATAAAGAGGCTCGTCACATTCGATCATCGCTGCCTTCGCAGCTTAGCTCATGTCTGGTGGGAGCACCGAGTGAGAAATGAGCCTGTTCGGCGTCGCGTATTTGGTGCAGGAAGAGCTAGTGAACCGCTCAGCACCATTATATCACACAATAGGCTACGATGGCCGGACCACTTGTTGCGCATGCCAGCACACCGACTCCCGCGACGTGCATTGTTGGAGCGCCGGGGTTGCGGTTGGAAGAGGAGGCCAAGCGATAACTTGATGGAGAGAAATGAAAACCCATACTTCGAAGTTGGCGTCGGTTGGTGCATCGCGACTGCCTGGCTGCGGTCCTAAGGACACGTTTGGTTAGACGTACTTGCAGATATGGCTAGGAGCCGGCCCCAATAGCGTGTGTCGTGAGTTCCTTTGTCCATCCCCTCCCGCTTAGCATCTCCCTCCAATCACGATCTCATTCGCTAGGCATAATATAACTCTCTCTTTACGGCACGATAGCCGGTTGTTAGCTCTCCGGAACGATCTCCATTCCTTACTGGGGACTCAGCCGCCGTGCCACTGTTGATCAGACCACCTAGTTGGACTGCACCTCGCATCGCCGAGGAATATACCATTTATTTTTTCTTCTTTTCTTTTGTATTACGGTACAATAGCTGAGGTGTTTTCCACCTGTAGCAAACGTGTATAATGATGAATGATGATGCCGGACATTGTTTCTCGTCATCATCACGCTGTCAAGAGCTGATCCACCGGTAGCTGAGCATAATCCAGAAGAAGACGAAGCAGTAAACCTAGTACAACATCTGGCAGCGAAGGAAGATCAGATGAATGAAATAAGGCGCCGCACAGAAGAAGATACGACGCTTGCTGCTTTGCAAGAGGTTGGCGAAAAACGAAGGAGCAGCCGAAGGAACTAACACCCTACTTCAATTTTCGGGATGAACCTTCTAACTATGATGGTTTGCTGTTCAAAGGAAGCCGTATTCTGATTCCGTCATCGCTCCGAAGAGAAATGCTGAAATATGTTCATCGCGCTTACCAGGGTGGCAACTATACAATTAACCGAGCAAAAGAATGGAATTTTTGGCCAGGAATGATGGGTCAAATCAGAGATCATATGTCGAATTGTGAGGCGTGCCGTTCATACGAAATCCGATAGACGAAGGAACCAATGCTGCTTCGTGATGTCCCTGATTGACCGTGGCAGGTGGCGGTGGATTTATCCTATGACAACGAGAGAGATCATTTACTTACGATAGATTAGGAGAGTGATTATATTGAAATCGATTTACTTACTACTACGATCACAGAAGCAGTAACCAACAAACACAAACGTCAATTCGCGCAGAAGAGCTGGTCTCCGATAATGATCCTCAGTTTACTAGCGATGAGTTCCAGGCCTTCGTAAACAAGTTGGAATTCGTGCACCAACAAACCAGCCCATATCACAGCCAATCGAATGGGAAGGCAGAGTGGGCAGTAAAGCAGACCAAACGACTGTTAGTAAAGGCTAGAGCTACTGGTGAAGACCCCTATCTCATGCTACTGGAGAATCGCAACACACCTTCAACGAATATTGGCTTGAGCCCAGTGTAGCGCCTATAGAGTCGAAGGACTAGAACGCTGATGGCGGCATCCGCCACAATTTGCGCCCAGTTTCTCCGCAGCATAAGAGGTTACAGAACAATCTGAGAAGACGAATGACAGCCCAGAAATGGTAGTACGACTGCGGTGCACGGATACCGCCTGAGCTAACAGTGGGGGGAGGAAATGTGTACTCAACCAGTACTCGATGGTCAAAAGCGGTGGAAGAAAGGTGTGTTGACTGCGAAAGTCGGTGCAAGGTCATACGCAAGAAATGTTTGAGGGAAACGCTCAGGAAAAATCGAGTGCATTTAAAACGACACCGGAGACCACAATGTGGACTGGGAGTGGAGCGCCCGGTGGCGTGTAGCAAGGAAAGCATGATCGCAGATACAACGATGACGCGCAGTAGCAAGGTGTAAGGGGTGTATAACAATATGAAGGCACAAGGACACGAAGAATGGATGTGATGGGAGTGTCAGACCAGAGTGAACAGGTGGGTCAAACGAACGAGACAGATAGCCAATTGGAAACGGGTGTAACCAATTTGATTGTTGGATATGGATTGGCCGACATTCATATGAGTTAATCATCATCTGTTTAACTGAGTCAAAGGAAGAATCTCATCGCCTCAGAAGGGTCACTGGTTATGGATGTGAACCCGTAACATATCGAGTAGGTTGGCTTGCCAAACGTGCGGATTACAACATGAGTTGTTTTTGCCGAGGAACTGCGTTCTGCAACAGTCCTTTTGTACCGCACTGGTGTGAATCTGGTAAAATGTAAGCAATGGCCGGGCCAAGTTCATTTTAGATAAACGGACCCCATAATCAATCCGTCATACCTGAGAGATAAGGATGTCCAGATATGACAGACAATTATCCCGTCCTACTTCGCATGTAGCTCATAAGTTAGCACGCACAGCGCTAATGCGCACTACCATCTTTGTGAGGTGCTGCTCCGAAGGGTAAAAGGCCAAAGTATTGCGAACATAGCGTTTGTAGTATGATATCGGGGCTATTTCAGGTGGTGGGATTGCTATATTGTCTCATTAATGTCTACGTGAACTATCTTCTATCAACTTGCACATGTCACTCAAGTTGATTGTAATTAACTTCGATACCATTTTCGTGTTTGTGGCACTTTCGTAAAATGTATTTCCTGACGTCATGAATCTACAGCGGATCTTCTGGTAATCAACTTATACACTCATTTATTAAAGAGCTATGTCGGTACATCTGTATGCATCATTCGATATATTTATTGGGTATCTTCGTTTCAAGTGGTTGGCTGTCGCTTTATATTCCCGGTGTGGCTGCGTTTGATGTGCATGTTGACAAGGTGCCTACCTGTCTATTACCCACTACCTCGTCCATACTGGCTCTAGGGGACAGTTGGTCGTTGCTGGAGGGGACGGAGTGCACGGTCCTTGTGGCGGTGTTAGGATCAAAAAAATGGTTCCATGAACTCAGTGTGGAACGGACTACGATGCAGCCACTTGCCTCCCAGTCTTATTCCTTTGGGTTTACACTGGATTTGGGTGTGTGGTGCAGCGCAAGCCACCCATGGTCCCTCTGTATGCGCAAGCGTCCCGTGGCTGGCCACACTGACAGGCAAATCCGAAACCGGATGCCGCCAACAATTGATGTATGTGGGTCTCATGCTGAGGCTGATGCTGCATTCATGATGCTTCTTCACCGCAGTTGGGCTAAACCAACTTACACTTAAACTAGGTTTTTTTAAGCTGGCTAAATTCCATTCCATTTTATTTGGTTTGTTCGGTCTACCTAAATAATTTTCTATTAACTGGCCATATTGCTTACGCTAATTGCGCTCATCTTCGGTAACTGTTGCTTTTGTAGCATTTTTAAATAACTTGTGGACATTTTTTCCTTATCGTGGTTTGTTGCCAACCAACTTACTTTATATGCTAATTTAACGAAGAGTTATGCCACTGTATGTGTATGCAATATTGGATTTGTTTTATTTCCTCTTGTCGTTTCAAGTGATTGGCTGTCGCTCTATATCACCGGTATGGCTGCGCTTGATGTGCATGTTGACAAGGTGCCTACCTGTCTATTACCCACTACCTCGTCCATACTGGCTCCAGGAGATAGTTGGTCGTTGCTGAAGGGGACGGGGTTCACCGTCCTTGTGGCCGTGCTAGGCTCGAACAGTGGTTCCATGCACTCAGTGTGGAGCGGACTACGGTCCAGCCACCGCCTTGTGTGCGGTTGATCCCCAAATACAGCGTGCTTGTGTTTGCCTGTGAACGAGTGTGGGCCGGCTCCGTTGATGAAACGTGGTTCCCATCCGCATACCTCCCGGTCTCAGCAATGTAATCGGAAGTGGTGAACTGCCTAAGCTCTCAGTTAACATAATCAACTGACTGATGTAGGGGGACATTGGTAAACAAAGATCCCACATCCAATGAACACATGAGTTTCTTGGACAGGCTGATTTTATACAGGTAAGCAATGAGCTGAAATGAGTCTTTAAGACCATACGGATTGTGTCAGTCACCGCGGTGTAAGCACCTTCACTAGCCAGCGAGTCAATTTATGCTAGGGCGCGTTCATCATTGAAAGAATCGTTCTGAGTTGCACTCCAATCTTAGGGGTTTTCGGTGATCCATATAGCTGTGGAGTAGTGGTACGACTACGCCTCACAATGTTCAATCTAGCTGCGGTGAGTTCGGATACTTTAGAATCCAGTGTCCTGGTAGCTGTTTAAAACACACACCAAAATGACTTGTTTCGCCGATAAGCAAGGGTGCCAAAATACAGTAGTCCAGAAGTAGGATAACCCATAAACGGGCATCACAAAAAGTACAATCACTGTCTTCGCAGTTGATGAAACTTGGAACTAAAGCGCGAGTATGGTACCTATATTCCTGAAACTTGATAGTTCCTCAACAAATTTCTCGAAACCTCATAGTTTATTTCAGCAGAGTAACTTCGATTGCTCATAGTGAAAAGCGCAGTGTTGGAAGATACAAGATGTCTATATCTGGAGAATCACATTGAAAGAATGAGGTCAAAAAAACTAAAACTAAAAATGAGCAAGAGATTTTTGGGAAAAAGTGCGTCAAACTAGAAGAGTCGATTCTCCGTTAGAGGCATCTGGAATATCTGGAAACCGGTTTAAACTCATACAGAAAGATAATTGGCACCGGGAGGAAAGCAGAACATCGCAGGGTGAATTAGGGTTCGACAAACAAATTATCCGTTATTATCACACATGAGAGTGTAATCCCGTTCGGGGAAATACAGGGGAACGTGACGTTTAAAATATGCGGCCAGATCGGTCCACCCCATGCGATCTAATAGCTGAAAGGCAACAGACAGGCAGAAAATAATGGTTTATATGGATGAAGATGGTAACAAGCGAGCAAACGTCTCTCATAATATAGAGCGTAGAAAACCTCGAATTCCATAACTTAAAGAATACAGGATGACGAAAAGGGGATAGCGAATGATCAAGGTCGAGATTTAATGAAGTAAGCTGGTCAACAGTTATTATGGGAAGCACTGAGGTGGACACACATTTGTTGTATGCTGTACTGCGAAAAAATTTTGCATGATGAATCAGCAAAACGGATAAACAATGACACAGTAAAAGGGTGGAGAAACGAATCATAGGCATGATTTCAGTCTAGTCCACCGGTGTTTACTCTTTTTGAGACGCTTACCCACAAATCGGTATTATTATAAGCAATTACCCTGCTCCCACACATTTCTATTACAAATCTAATTAACGAATAACTATCGCGCCTTTTGTTTTTAATTACCCATTTGTACTTACTCTCGATTATCGAAAGAAAGAAAACATCCATTTTTGTGGAACAATATATGCAATCAAGAGGTGATATACATCAAGCAGACGGGTGATTTTGCTTAACGCTAACAATTTCTGGTAAATTTGGTGCAGTTTCGACTAATGTACATGGTAAGTCGTGCTCCAAGTTCGTTCGATGCCTTGTTATTATTTTCATTGCCGCCACTGTCGAAAATCCATTCTCACATCTATAAGTTTTTGCGAATGGGATCAATATTAGCAACGCTCTTTCCGACGGCAAAGGATACTCACCACATATCTTTGCTCAAAATGCTGCCGGTTGTGCCCTTGGGAAATCTATTTTCCATGCGTTATCCTCGCGAATGACTAGGAATCGTGCCTTGGCTTCGATTTCAGTTTCTGAAAATATTCCTTCATTCACTGAAAAGGGTTTCAACATCCAGGCATTCACATGACGATTTTCCGAATCAGGAAAATATCTGCTGAGAGAATGCACCACTGATGAAAAGTGGTAAGCTATTTCACCTGTGAATGTGCATTTTTCATTTATTCCAACGAGCATCAGTGTCAGTTCTGGCAACATCGGAACGTCGTCAACCGCAAATCCGTGTTGGTAAAGCTGCAACTTGCAAGAAAAAACTGACAACTCTATCCTTAGCAGTTAAAATAATCTTCATCTTTCCTTGCAAGCCGAAGTTCACGGTCCTTCGAAGAATTCCGCAAGATACCCGTTTTCAAATAGATACGTTGCCTGTTATTATGGTGTGTAACCCGTTCTCCTTACCCCTACGCAGCTCGTTCCTTTGAAAAAACTTAGCTATCTCTTCTCGAAGCTCGAGAACTCGGTGCGACACCCTGCCTCGTGATAACCAACACATTTCTGTGTGCAATAACGTCAAATGTGCCTCCAAACTCATTGCAAAACTCTTTGAAAACTCTTGTATTTGTAGTACTACAGCAGATGAGATTTTTTACTTTCATTACATTGGTTAACGCATCCAGTAAAGCAAGTAGAAGAGTTTTCACTACTAACGCATAACGATGTAGGGTGCAGTGGCTAAAGATAGCCGGGGAGCAAACTTTTTGACTAATGTTTGGAAGCTTGGCTGAATCACAGGGAATGCTGATCCTCAGCAATCCAAAAATTTCCATTTATTAGAATGAATCAAGGGAGGCAGAATCTGAGTAAAGAATTCGTTTCGGTAATTCTCATCGGACTCAAACATTACATGATGAGGAAAAAGTGCTAAATATGCACATTCCTTTCAAAGGCGACAGTGCGGCTGATGCCCTGTCCAAGCGCCTGAAAGACGCTGTTGAAAAGACTTATTTCGCGGCCCGCCTACGCATAGTATTTTACAACGAGCCTTTATTCGCAAAACCTTTGAAAGACAGGCTGCCTCCGGTGACTCGGTCAATGCTTGTTTATCTTTACTCGTGCTCCTGTGAGGCACGATACGTGGGTCGTACCACGAGGCGTCTATCTCATAGGATTCGCGAACACATCCCAAAGTGGTTTTACAGAGGCGAAGCGAGGTCAAGTAATAGTTCCATCTTGTCTCACCTTCTAGAGTGCAGTCACGCAGGGACGGAAAATGATTTTAGAGTCATCTATACTGTTCCTGAACGTTTCAAGCGCGGATTCCGGAAGCATCTTCTGTCTATTGCGGAAGCTATCTACATCCGCCACCTCAAGCCAGAATTGTGCGTACAAAAACAGTTTGTACGTCCTTTACTTCTACCGTGGCCTACAACTTTGGCTGTGATTTCAAATGTACATATTTGCCACTTTCAAGGACCCCCGTGATTTATTAATTTGTAACCGTGAAATTAAACATTCTGTTCAATACGCAGCCCAATCTGGCATATTTAGCACTTTCTCCTCATCATGTAATGTTTGAATCCAATGAGAATTACCGAAAAGAATTCTTTACTCAGATTCTGCCTCCCTTGATTCATTCTAATGTTTGGAATACAGAACGGACGCCGAACATGGATGGTGCTCCGTCTGTACACACACCCACCACCTTCCACAACTGTAGATCCTTTTCATGGACGAAATCAGTCACTGTTTGAAAGACATCTTCGCCACATATATTTGTGCTCAATGGTTCTGAGAACAAGTACTCTTATTTGAAGCCGTCACCCTTTATGCACCACAACTAGTCAAGTAGAAAGGGAACAAGGTGCGACGTCGGTCGAGTCCTCTAAATGTACTGCGAAGAAAGAACATGATTTATTTTGTTGAGCACCGCGTTTAAAATGTTCTTGCTCATGTCTCCGATGCGACTTTTGATGTTGTTAGAAAGTGATATCTTTTCCGCATACTGTTCTCGAAGAACGAACTTCACGACATCCATTATGCAAGGTTTATGAGATCCTGTCCTACAGTATGCGTTTTCTTTTTTGCTGATTCGAAGAGCGATAAAGTACGAAGCTTCGAGACCAGATTCAGTTGACTGAAAAAGCAGCCCGATGTATCTAGACACAAACATTTTAGTGCAACTTTTTTCTGTTTGAAGAATATAATTTCTTACGAACTGAGGATTTCATGCCCACCGCCGTGAGCACTTTGCTGCACAAAACGCAACATTAGTGAGTTGTAATACTTTCTTGGTATAGAAACACATTTCCTACCTGATTTGGTCACCATCGTCGTACACTTTACTACGAAAAAACGCCAAGTGGCAGTGGTCAGCTAAAAAACAAAAGTCGATTCTGCCAAGGCAGCCATGGATAAGGCTAATTTGCTAACACATTTTGATCCGAAAAGGCCCATCATTCTCCGATGCGACGCCGCACCATCAGGGGTCGGCGCCGTACTGTCCCACAAGAAGGATGATCAGACTGAGAGACGCACCACTTTTGCCTCAAGGAGTTTAGCACTGGCAGAGAAAAACCACGCACAACTGGATAAGGACGCGTTGGTGGTCATATCCGGTGCTAAGAAATGTCACCAGTATCTTTGGGGAAGTAGTTTCGAAAGCTTTACTGATCATAAACCCCCTATTAGCCTTGATTGGTGAAAGTACAGGCATCAACCAGATCTCATCTCCCCGTATGCAACGTTGGGCCTTCCTGCTATCGACTTACAATTACACTATTACTTATGTCCCTGGAAAAGCAAACGGGATTGCGGATATCTTGATCCGGTTGTCGTTGAGTCATATGCCCTATTTTGTAATGGAACTGACTAAATTAGTCCAGTTAATGCAGAATTTGACCAGGAAGTCGGTGTTGGACGTGGATATCCGCCATGAGACAGAGCGTGATGTACTCCTCGGCAAGGTTAAACGTTTAGACTTCCATGGATGGCCCGATAAATATAACGCTAAAGGGTTACTACTTTACTTTACTCGACGAACTGAACTAGGCCTTGGGGATGACTGCCTCTTACGGGGGGTGCAGTTATTATACCGCCTTAGTTACGACAGTATGTGCTGGAGGAACTGCACGGAACGCACCCAGCTATCATCAGAATAAAGGGACCCGCGAGGTCTTTTGTGTGGTGGTCCGGCATTGATAGTGACATAAAAGAAACGCTTAGACACTGAAGCATGTCAAAGTACGCAAGGAAACATCCCGTCGGTGCCACTGAGTCCATGGAAATGGTCCGACAAGTCATGGGAGCGCATACGTGCAGATTACTTTGGTCCGCTTGATGGTAAGATGTTTCTTCTTATGGTCGATGCCTACTCCAAATGGATTGAGGTATTTCCACTGATACATGCCACTTCGGAGACGACCATTTCCTGCATGCGAACAAGTTTGAGTACATTAGGAGTTTCACTAACACTGGTGACAGACAAGGGCTCTGTACTCACTAGTTAGCAATTGCAAGAGTTCCTTCAAAATAACGGCCACAGACATGTGAAGACCGCCCCTTACCACCAAGCCTCAAATGGATTAGTAGAAAGAGCAGTCCAGACTGCAGAAAGTATCACGGGCTCCGTCTCGGACGAAGTTGGATAAATTTCTGTTTGCTTACCACTTCACCCCAAGTGAAATGACAGGCAAGAGTCCAAGCGAACTGAGATTTGACCGAAGCAAATGGAATTACCATTTCTTGAACCACAGCTACGCGTCGAGGTTCGACAAAAGAAAACTAGTATGGCACGATCGAAAGGTATCAGATCGACAACTTCGTGAGAACCAGCCCCAAGAACCGAAATTGTGGCTTGCAGAGTTATGCGAAATTGAAGATCAGAAAGTGGAGGTTGCGATACTGGATGTCCGCCGTCGTTCTGTTTTGATCGAGCCAGACGACACATTGCTAAGTCCATCAATCAAACCAACAGTTGCGGAGGGCACGCAGTACTCAAGTGAGCCAGAAGCCCAACCAATACGCCGCTCGGCTAGAGTACGCCATCCAGATGATCGTTACCAGGCTGTCACCCGTGGCGGAGCTGTAGGCTATCGGGCGAGTCCCCAGGTTGCGGACCGAGAAATGTCTTCCTTGTGGAGGTAACTACGAATAAGTCTCGTTTGCTTTGAAGGCGAGATGAATAAGCAGTCGCGGACAATCAGCGGCAGCATCTCAGAACGTAGGGATTTCTGGGCTGGTCACCTGGTTCTCCATTAAATAACACAAGTGCTCGTACGGCACTGTGTCAAAGCCAATGTGACCGGTTACAAGGTCATTGACCACTCACTACTGTAACTGGTGGTGAGTATCTAACGGAGGGCGGATGAACAATCTCGCTGGTCACCGGCTTCTCTGTGGACTGCTTCCGAAAACACAGAAGGCGAATGAGCCACTTGGCTGTCAATGGTCTTCGTGAATCACCCCGCTGCTTTGCAGGTCAGGTCTTTAGACCAAAGGCTCGGGGTGGGGTCGCTTAAGTCAATCCTCTTCCTCGGCCTGGGCAACCGGGAAGCTCAACGCCCACACAAGACACGGAACTTTGCTTTCATTTCTCTTACTCACTCTATCTTTTTAGTTATTGTTACTCATGTGTTGTGGCACTCTGCCACATATTTATTGGGCAAGTGTTAAACGCAATACATATACCAGGCGGTCTGGGGAAATGCCAACTAAAGTGAAGAGGAATGCTGTCGCGTGAATCAGTACCGCCAGTCAGATGTCTGTCCCTGCATGTACGCATGTCTGTCTGTCTACCGATTACCCACTCACTAGTGGTTTGGCCTCAGCTACTTGATCGATGTAAAGGTTCTTCCCAGAATACACGTTGCGCACCACCAGTTCAGTGTGTTCTGTTGTCCTTGCGTCGTTCGGCTACGAGCCTTTATTGCGTTCCCATGCTTGCGTTAGTACCGCACGTGCAGACTGTAACAAAGGACTAAATCATTCATGCGTTCTAAGGTTTTCCTCATAAAATACACCATCTTGTAGAACAGTCAGCCAATGATAAGCGGGACAAGTGAAAAACCTAAATCAAGTTACAACAAACTAGATAGTTTCTTGGGCCTGCAATTGATATTATTCATGTTCTCCGCCGAAAAAGCAATTGAGAAAATATTCCAAAACTGGCAAAAAATATTTAGGAAGATAAAACTGTGGCCCGTATTCACTCACGCAAGAGAATGAGTATTCTGTATACACTGAGCTGTTACTATTTACGAACAGTTTCTTGCGGGTTGGAGGAACATACGTTTATTATTATTATTATTGTTATTATTATTATTATTAGTGCATCCGATGCGGGACAGTGAACTACATCGGATCCAAAGCAATCGGCTCTCCAGGAATGGTGGTGTCATGTTATGTTTGTGAACGGCCCGGGTAAACAGTCCCAATCGGAGAGAAAATTATTGACGACTTCCGTTACACAGACTCGTTCACACAGCAGCACAGTACTAAAGACAACTTGTGCGTCAGCTATAATTGAGAAAGCAATATCAGTGAAAACAGCACAATCATTTTAAAGTGATCCTTTGGTCCCATATATTTATGCATAACGTCTCGAATAATGAAGTACAATGATCCGGGAAGAAAGGGGACGTGATTTAAATACTAGCGCCCTAGGAAAGCACTCACTATAATAGAAGATACACTTTGCTATTAACATGTACTCATGTGGAAGATATGTAGCATCTGCGACACGATCTTTTGGCTGATTTCACTGCCCCGCGTCACAACTTACGTCATTTGACTGATAATCTGGCATCAAACACAAGTAAACCAGGTGATCGACCAGGAGATGAGTGTCATCGCGCCAATGAAGCCGATCGTGCATCAAGCACTGCATGAGTCGCGTGAACTGCAGCTCGGAAGGCGAGGCAGATCAATATTAGCCGCGCCATTGACGAGCGACGTTACCTACCACTCTCAAGAAAACAACCATTCTGTAGACAAAACAAAGACGTCACGGAGAAGCAGTGGGTGGACCCACAGAACGTGTACATATCAACAAAGCTTACTAAGTCCTATATGCTGATCATAGGAAATGACTGAATCACTGCCGACTGATGCTAAGATGCGCACGCCACTTCTGAGAAGACGCGGTTGCTACACGAAAGAAACGAGGCTCCCCAGCGGTAGCGATGGTGAACGGGCTGAAAGCATTTCAGAGACCCAAACCGACGGAGCTATGAGTAACGGATGGAGAGAGAACGGCCTCCATGAGTACACAACAAGACCGTGGTGAAATTCCTTTTGTAACCAAATTATTAGGCAGCCGCAAGGAAAGAACTGTGACACAGTCACGAGACGTGAAGCGGACCTGCGGCAAGTCACGCTAAAAGCTGATGAAATCAGCCCATCATTATGACACGGGTTATTACGCAGCCGGCGTGAGCACGACTACAGCTGGTCAGTAGAGACCACTAGTAGGTTTGAATCTAGTCAAGTGACGTGAGTCAGTCTAGAAACGTGCAGCTGGAGTTGATGGCATGTGTCCTATAAAATTACCCGTGTCCTGTTCTTAATACACTTCAGTCTGGCAGACGTCGGTTCACTGATTTTCCCCGGCTGGGTTGGAGGCGGAAAGAGCAGGGCTACAACACCAAAGTACCGAAGCTATATGAGGGATGTAGCAAAGACGACTTCACCACGCAAATGGTGCCCTTGTATTCGCCTAAGTGCCAACTGGCAGTTGAAATATCCTAGGAAAATAACGGGTTCTCGAGACCACGATCAATTATTTGTTCGTCCTCCTCACCCTTCTCACATCCGTCCAGCCCGATAGAATTTCAATTTCTTGCGCCAGAAGGATTAATCCCACTTGATAACCCAGTGCCTTTATTTTTTCCTAGTTCCAGCCTTACCGAGCTAATAACACGTTGCTTGCACTTTAGACCGTTACATACCCAAGCGAGTAACCTTATTCATTTCCTTCGTCTGCACGTACTTTACACCTCAAGGCCATATCTTTAGCTGTTTGCTACTTAGATTACTGGTACAACTATCAGTTTCCGCCCGATGCACGCACGCCGCAAGCTTAGTCGTGAGTTCATTAGTGTACATTACTACATCCTTTGGAGTCCAGGTTAAGGAGTATATTACAAAACCGTTTTATACCCATAGCGTGTGTACAACCTAGGTTTAGAACTCAAAATAGCATTATTTATACAAGTTGCGTTGGACGTAATTCCATTCCGCATAGTTCCGCCGTTACAGTCACAGTGGCGTGATTCAGGATAGCCGAAGGAATCGAATGTGAAACGAGATCCAGTGACAAATGTTAGATAAGATAGCACAACACTGAAACCGTACAGAAAGGAAACCAGATGGAAATGCACAAAATACTAGTAAACGGGTTTTAACGATTATGTCAGTGTGGGTGAATGCCAAACTAATAAACGTGTGCAATTTTGGTGAAGAAAGTAAGTGCGATGTCATGCAACGGGCCACCATAAAATTGACGAAAAAACCTATAGCTTTTGCCTTGTAATCACTTAGAATATGGAGCAACGCCCATGAAAATCCAATCAATCAACCTAGTCACGATGGAGACAGCATCAGTAATCAACATAATAGATTGGTTGGGACATATGCGCAAACTAACAGCGTCGGATGATGATGCTTCAGTGCTTTGATTCACCTCAATGAATGCTTGGCTCAATCCCGAAAAAAAGTAAGAACACTTTGAGAAAACGTACGAAGGTTTATGGAAAAAACGATGAATTTTTCATCGAAGACATGTAGGCGATGATTTTAAAGTAGAACCAGATGGACGATCAAGTGGAGGTTGTGAACAGTGAACTAGTATACTTGACGTACCCAAATCAGAAATACGTGAGTATACCTTGCGGTGACAATAGAACCGGCTACCGACGCAATTACTGGACGTATGGGACTCATAGAGGTCACCGCACTCAAGTTAAGCGGGCCGTTGAGGGCAGCGACCGGAGGCTCCTTGATCTGAAAATGGCAGACGAGAGAGCATAGGGGATGTGGTTTGCAGGGAACGATATAAAGCATGGACTGAAAGTTACTGAGGTTGCATGCGTCTTCGTTGAAAAGGAGTAAAATAATAATAGTAAAATGCGGGTGTGCATTAGCTGAAAACATGTTTGGCCGCCTCCGGTTCCGGGTTCGCCTGTCACTGTGGCCACCATAGGACAGCCACAGGATGTATGTGCCTACAGAGGGACAATGGGTGGCTTGCGCTGCACCACCCACCCCATATCCAGTGTAAACCTGAGGGAATAAGATCGGGAGGCATGTGGATGGGAGCCACGTTTCATCAACAGAGCCGGCCCACACTCCGACGCATGCAAACACAAGCACGCTGTATTGGGGGAATCAAGCGCACACAAGAAGATGGATGGATCGTAGCGCGCTCCAAACACGAACCATGTGCATAGAACCACTCTTTGAGTCTAGTACGGCCACGAGGATAGTGCACCCCCAAGCAACGATTCACAGTCTCTTGCAGTCAGTAATCGAGGTGGAGGGTGTTGGACAGGTAGGCATCTTGACAACGTTCACATCAAGCACAGCCACAGCAGGGATATCAAAAAAGCAACATTGGATTTAAGGGAAAGTAAACACGCAAAATAGACAATATGTAGCAGAGTAACAGAATCGAGCAAACCAAACAAAGAGAAATGACTGTTATCCAGATTAAAAAGACTTATATTGAGTGTAAGTTGGTTTAGCCCAACTGCGGTGAAGAAGCATCATGAATGCAACATCAACCTCAGCATGAGGCAGGGCAGAAAACAAAAGACCAGGAAACAAGCAACATTGGAAGGTTGCAGTGCGACATACTGGGGAAAACAATAACCGCAGTACATTCACGCGGTTACGTGAAAAAACCGATTAAAGAATATACATTCAGCACCCGTCTCAAAAGCTGGTGTTCGCGGTAGCTGAGGAGAGTGGACTGTTATGCGAAGAGCTAACCAGCGATGACTTACGTTTTGCCGTTCATGTTCGCATCTAAACCTTAATAGCGGAAGTTGTAAGCCAGGAATAAGTATCATAAAGTAGAAGAAAGGAGAATTTCCTAGGGCGATCAGAAAAGAATGAAGACCAGTTTCATCAGATGCATGGATTCCGTACTGTCGCCTCAGTGTCGATAACTCGTAAGTATATGCCACTGTCAGATGATACAGACAAGTATATAAACAAACGAGATAACCGTTTTTCGTTTCGTTGTGCCCTTTAACAGTTGTAAGTAAGTAGGAGTTAACACCATCGACAATAAAGGGACGATCCAGGATGCAGACATCTGCCTAGATCCGATTTTCTATCCTGCATCATGAATGGGAAAGATCGGTGCATTGCTTCCTCTGTGGAGAGAATACAGTGACTTCGGAGGCAAGATTGCAGTAGGTAAGTCTGGTGGAGTTGTTTACGCACTAATGCATGAAAAGTATACATTAAATATGCACGAGCTGTAAATGATAAGTGGCAACGATGTCATCGGTTAGGACTGAGGAGCAAACACAGTAACGATCCAAACGTCACAGGAAATAGGGCGGGAATAGCTGACAGCATTCATCTCCTGAGTGCTTATCAATGAAATACAACAATTAACGGACGTCTGTGCCCACAGGAATCCTAAGTCAACTCAAACTAGACTATCGGCACACGACTGGGAAGATTGTCAGCAGTGCGGGTGCAACAAGGCATAACATTGAGCTAAAAAGTTGGAAAATAATACAGATATATGTCACTCATTTAAACGTTTACCCGTGGTATTGATAGTTATCCTAGAGTCCACGAAAACACAGGATGTGGTTTAAGATGGAGCAGTGTGTGAGAAAACAAAACATTAGACTCAGAGCGCGTAGAGAAACAGGATGGAGTTTTGAACAAATCGTCAGGCAGGGACGATAAAACCTTTAATAAAAAAGTTATTATGTGCGCCAAATTGCAGCCAATTAGAGACCTACTGGGAAGGCTATTACAAATGAAGATGAGCCTAATGAAACGCACAATCATTGTGAAGTCGTTTGGTAGAACACCAAGAAACAATAAGTAAACAGCAAAACCAAGTGGGAAGAATACAAGCAGTCACGACTTATTACCATAAAGAGCAGAATACTAAACTCATGTTGATAATTTTTGAACCTTGCGATACGTTTCGTCAAAGTGTATTGAGCATAATAAATTTTGAAATGAATACATCAAGTGGGTGAATGGAGTATGATGTGATCGCTCCCGATCATTGAGAGAGATGTGGCTGTCAAAGTTAGTTTGTGAGTGCACATAAGAAAGAAAGTTACATCGTGACATTCGGAAGCATTGAGAATAAGTGATCCGGACGAGGACCATCGCTGAAGCTCATTCAACTCGTTTTGGAGAGTAGAAGACAACCCAGTAGTGAGAGCAATGCCGTCTAAAACAAGGTACTTAGATCCAATAAAGTCAGGGATGGTAAGCTTTACATGTACAAAGAAAATAGGAAGAAGATTGTCCACTATAAAACGCTGCAGTCAACAGGAGTAGAGGACTTTTACTGTTCAAATGGGTGAAATGAGAACGCTTGGCGAAATGATTGCTCTACAGGTCGCACACTACTGGTTGAGCACCAGTCGCAGACAACCGATTAAGCAGGAATGACCTTGCAGCAGTTAAAAAGCGTCGGAATAGTCAAAGAAGAGAAATCGCACAGTCTTGCATTTCGCATCCATTGCAGAGTGGACAAGGTATGCCACTGCCACTAACGTGGAACGTCGGGGTTTGTAGGCAAACTGAGACACGCCCTCAGATGATGTGCTTGTATACATCCAAAACATAAGTAGTAGCTATATGACCTTCAGCATGACGGATGCACAAACGATTTGACGGAATTTCAGAGCCTCCAAATATCAGGAGTAGTGCCATCATGCATGCAGCAACTGAAAAGTGTCGCCAGAGGCAAGGTGAGAGTATCGGCGCGCTAGGCCAAAACAGCTGGACCAGCAGCGTTAAAGGCAATGTATTGCTCCGCCAACGAAGAATAGAAGTTACCCAAAAGTGGTTGCATGTGACCCGTAGAAGAGTCTAACGGAAGGATGGGAGTAGGGAATAAAATAGTGAACGCCGGTGCACCACTGATTACTTCGTTGTTCTGCAGCAGACACCGTCTTCAAACACTGCTGTGGCCGCACCAATAGATCAAGGCAAAGAAAGTGATACCAAAAAGAAAATTCGGGTTCAGTATTTTACGCACCTTGTCAGTGTTGTCTTATGGTGCCAGTGAGATGCAGAAATGAGAAAAACAGAGGTTGACCAATGAGGAAACATACATGCCGGCAATATCCAAGAGCCCAGGCACGAGCGGAAAACAAAATAAAAAAGCTAATTTGATGCGTGAGGAGGAAGGTCCTAGGAGATGACCTCATCATGGAAAAGAACACGACACATAAGCCAAGAAGACGGTGTAATCGAAGAATACACCGGCTAACAATGAAATTATCGATGAATTAAAAATGCCCCAATCCGTAGTAATTCGGTGTGCCGAAGGCAAACAAGAGCCTGCAAAATATTTATTGGCTCTCGCCTTAGAGATATTTCATAATCACCATTTTTAATATGCCACCTTAGAGATTGATTCAGTGACACCGTCGCAATATTCTAAGTAGGCCTAGCATGATACAATGACGTATCACATTGCATAAAGCCATCATGTACACATCATCCAGAGTGCATTGCACAAATTTATGGTGCATAGCAGTGCTACTGTCAGGCTACTGGTGAAGTACGCTGACGTTAGCAGTATAGTACATAAAGCTCAGTGGGCAAATTGGAGTACTTAGACCTCATAGAATACGGTTCGTGTCATTGTTACATGCAGCAAACTAGATTTTTAGCACGCTGCATCATCAACCGTACATAGAATAACATAGGTGGAAATAAATGACCTTGTTCGTGATTTGGGCCTATTCAAAAACGTGGCAGAAGTGTTACTATCAGGACTCAAATTATGAAATCTTGGAGAATATAGCAGAATTACTCCAGACAGAAAGCGATACTAGCAGTTGGAGCCTAACTTCAGAAAGGATGGTAATGTGGCATTATCTAGAAATAACAACAACCACAGAATGGAGACTATTTGTAGACTCTTCCTAAGTTATACTTAAGGTGGCGCTGTTGCGCTATGGAAACCATTGCCCATCTAGTCCAGTGGCGCATTCTGTCCGTATGAAAGAGACGTATGATAAGTTAAAGCAGTTGTTAAAGTCTATTGAGTATAACCAGTACAGCTGGTATCTCTGTGGTCGTGGGACTGCAGATAGACTACACAAAATACTGCTGTACCTTGTGCGAGTTGGATAGTCGGGCAAGGGTTATGCACTACTTGCGGAAGGAATGGACTTGAAAACAAACTTTGACCGTTAGAGAGAAGAATATCCATCACCCCGCTTTGGTAAAGGCCCAATAGACTTTGCTACAATCCCTACATATCAAATTAGGTTTGATGGATAACTCTTCGTGAAAATAATAGACCGGACTTCCTTGGCATTCCGATACCAGCATGAAGAATTCCCTCGATTCAAAGAGGACCACTTCAACAACTTAATGCAAGATGATATGAAACAAGCCTGGTATGCTTCACGCCCAGTGTCTACTAAATTTCTCGGGAATGTTAAAGTACAAACGTTTAGGGAATCAAGTTATCTCAAGTTATCTCAACACGCTACCAAGAAAAACGCTCCACATCACATGATGGTTGACTACTGCTTGACTTTGGTCAGAGAGATACAACTGAACAACCGTACAAGAAACAGGCAAAGAAATCCAAGAGGTTACCTATCGGTTTGCCTTTTTATGTGTGTTACCCTTACTATATGAAAAGTATTGTCATGTATTTAGTAATGTAAATACCTATTGTGGATTACATAAATACTGGAGCCAAGTTCGCATTTTTACTGCCATATTTGTGTTCAAAACATTAATAGGGTAGGAATAATTTTAGTTTAGTAACATGCTTTTTGTAAAAATTCATTGCCCAGTGATATCGCCAAGTAAGGCACAAAGTGGGGAAAAACAACAGGATTGTATTAGGAATCAAGATAATCACATGGAATAAGTTAAGATAATTACCAAAATAATGCTGATGGATAACAAACAATGTAACACGTGAAAATGGAGTATAAGAAATGCCAGTTGGCTGGAAAATAATACCTGATGATCATTGCGGAGGTTGGTTCCACAAAGATGTAAATACGACGAAGAACGAATGGTAGGAAAGCAGAGAAGGCAGGCGAACGGTGAATCAAGGTAGGAACAAACTTCGAGATACGGGAGATTCCGGTAGCCTAGGCCAATGGTCAGTTGTGTAACATAAAGAAAAACAAGTAATATGTGTCTGTGTACTGCAGTACGATTTGGGCACAGAAGTGCAGCGAACTCAGTTACCGTAACATGCACAGTCATAATGATGTAAAGTAGAACCACAACCAACTGACAAAAAGGCAAAGATACGGATCCGATTGTTAGAAAAGAGCATGGAACAAGGAGGCATATATGTCAACGTAATGGATCAATTGCAGTGGAGCTGACCTCACAACCTCACCAAATTGGATGGATTCTCATACCAAATAAAAGATAACGTACAAACGTAGAAAGGTACGTCTAGCGAGCGCTGGAACACGCTCTGGATGGATCAACCACGAGCTCGCTGAAAAAGGATGTAAGGTATTTGGAAAATTAAACTTCAAAAGATCAACTAACGCAGCATGCGGGAGCTAAGAGAATGTGATCCCAGTAGTAAGTATGCTGTTGCGAACTCAATGTGCAGGCCAGTTGGTATTCCGATGGCCCAGAGACACAAACTAGTAGCAGGAGAATACTATGTGAAAATAACCGGAGGATGCACGAGATGAAAACGGGTAGTAAAGAAATCAGTGAAACGCTATACGCTTACTTGAAACATGAGGCGAGTCAGCAAGCGCAGAGCTTGCGGGTCTTGCCCAGCAGAAAGTGAGAAGAGAAACAAAAATAACACTGCGCGTCCGCCAACTGAACCCAAGGTACGGCTCTCGTGAAACACCTTGTGATTAATAGAATGCGTCTTCAGGTCACGTAGACCAGAGACGAGTAACCAGTGTGGTAACGCATGGGCGCCAACTCGAACCGTTTCCGCCACTGATTGAGTCCCAGTTGTTGTGAGCGTTAATAGATGAACAACACGGGCATATATCCGTCGCAAAATACTGCGAGATTCGCGAAATTCGTTCAAGGAAGTTAGAGAGTCAGTGCGACGAGAGGATGACGATTTGATGTCATTGGCGTTAGTGCAACTTCCACAACGACCCGAAGTAGGACTGCGGAAAACGGAGGTAGGTGATGCTTGTATGTTAGGTTCAAGATTCGTTGGGTTCCCGTTGCAAACTATGATGGAGCGGGACCGAGCGATTTCGTGTAGCAAAATCCGTTCGCACAACAATCGACCGTACCGAGCTAAAGTGTCAATCAGCCTAAGTTTCAGTTCAATGAAACTGAATGTTGTGGAGCTGTGTGAAAGGAAAAGAGGGAATTTAACGCAGATACAGTGTATGCCACTAAGAGACTAGGAAAAAGGTGTTTGGAAAGGAGAAGCAACCTCAAAATACTGGCAAAATGACCAGGAACTGTTTGATGAAATATGTAAAAATGAATGAGATGGACAAATCCATCAAGTAGCGTTGAGTGCAATGATAGAACGAATTATACACTACACAGAGTTAGAAAGTTAAGTTGTGCACGTGAAAGAAGCAGCATCAAAAGACATGTTATGGACAGGGATTTGGTAAAGTGTCCCTAAGAATGAAAGGGGTTGCACGATAAGTTAAACGAATGGGTGGTTTAAATTATGGTTACAAAATCAGTGCTGGGATGGTTATTCCAACAGTATTTTTCACCGGGCTGGATTCTGAGGTCTGCTATATCGGCTTAATAATCACCGCCAAAATGGCCTATAACTGGCTGGCTGATTGCGGAGAAGACAGACGCAGAAACATAATATGTGTATACGGACCAGATGATGAACTGGAATTGCAGTAGATAAGCTTAACAAAGCAATGAGAAAAGAGGGTAAGGCACTAGTAAACTCAAATCATAAATAGCATACTCGCGTACGCCTAGTCAAATGCTGTGATGACCTAACAGATACCAATGTGCCCAGAGTAGTGTCCCTGGAATTGTTCTTAATGGATCACAACCGAAAGTTCTAATGCGCTGATATTGTACTGACAACAAAAAGAAAGATGGATTAGCAACCATTTTGCAAAGGACTTGTGACCCTTTCATGCTGACGGAATCTGGGTGCGAGCTGGCAGAAAATTCCTCGGCACAACAAGCTACGAGCAATGCCGAACTGCGGCTCGTATACGGTTGGTAAGCATCATTGATGTCCCGGTCTGCCTATTCAGCTAGTGCATCTGGGAAGGCAATAGTTATTGCTACCGAGGTATATCAGCGTTTCATCAGATGTACAGAGAGCAGCACATCATGCTCAGACCAGGACCAACCACGGCGTCGGTTCAAACACACAGCCCGCGGTTAAAAACATGTTATCAGTATTATTTTTAAGTGGCTGTTAAATACTGCCAACTTATGGTGGAGGAAGGTCCCCAATAGATGGCGAGTTGAAACTAAGTAAGTCACTGAGATTCGCAATCAGAGCAGTGCACATGTTCGATCAGCCTCCACCATCATGGAACAGTTATTCTTTTTGGTTAGTTTCCATAATCGTGAAACACTCGTTTCCCGACCAGTCTTTGTACCTAAGAAACAATCATTTCTGCGGCCAACCTGCGCAATTTCCAACATTCAGTTTCCGAGATGTTCAGTTTACTGACCCTTGGCATATTCACATAGTGCTAATTAACTTGCTTTTGCCTTGCTCCCAGGGTTTGCGCAAGCAAGCCACTCTACTTGAAGAATCACAGATTTCACAAATGCAGTATATAAGCAACGCCGGACAACGCTGTAATTGCCTTCTGCTTGGCAGTAAAAGCGCCTGTTGCGAAAGGCATGTTTTGTTCATATTTCTCCCTCGGAGAAGGGTAGTCGCGTGTGAAGTCTGTGTTCGGTGTAGGAACCCGTGCAACTTGCTCGCAGTAATCGTGTTGCGACTAAGTCTCACAGGTCGTATAAACTCGAATTATGTTGACTATCTTGTCGCGCGGGGATAGAATTCTACAACACATTCGTTCATCCGACAAGGAGTGATGATACCAGTCCGTTATAATACGTGGCAGAGGCAGTCATAACAGTTACCCACACACTGGCTCACCCCGTAATATGGCAAAGCAGGCTCCGATCACGCGCTAGCAGACACGGTTTCAGTTGTGAGATGGAAGAGAAACACAGGATGCACATTACGTGGGCGTTGCCTGAATTTAAGCGTGCACCAGGACACAGGAAGATAAAGAAAATCCGACAATTCATTAATTTGAATAACACAGTGAGAAGATGAATACTGGTAGATGTGCACATCTCCTATTGTCTCATCAGTACTAATAAAAAACAAAAAAGTATCCTAAATCGCTCAAAGGGTGTTACCAAGCAATCAAATGAAGTGAGATGAACGGCGGCAATGGTCCCAGGACCAGAGTAACCGAAGGTCAAAAACTGATTGTTTCTGCACACACAGGGTAGGTCCTAGCTGGCTTATCGCCACTGCCTCGGCGAACCGCACGAAGCTTGGATTGGGATGGCTTAATACTGTCTGAAACGCGGAGCCGGTGTGAATCTGATGACAGGTCAACAAAGCAGGTCTACCTACTGATGATGTTGGCGGCTTGCGCACACACAGAATATTGGGCGAGGGAAGGCTGACCCGTTACACTCATTTAAGAGTAACGCCGCCACAGTAAGAATAACCAAGCGCTTAATCTCCACCTACTGCGCTGCAGATGCTGTGGTGATCAAAAGAACGCGAAAACTGTCGGTACCTACGGTTAAGGTAGAGGAAGCCATCAGCAACAAATCACACTGTATTTACCATCTTGAGTGTACTTGCGGCGTCATTTACATAGGAATGACTGAGGATTTTGAATTCCATAGTGAAGGAATACCTGCCCAACTGGATTCAGCATGAGGTCAGCCATCCCTGGCCAAATATTTTGTGTGTGCGCAAGCCGCCAACATCATCAGTAGGCAGACCTGCTTTGTTGACCTGTCATCAGATTCACACCGGCTCCGCGTTTCAGACACTATTAAGCCATCCCAATCCAAGCTTCGTGCGGTTCGCCGAGGCAGTGGCGATAAGCCAGCTAAGACCTACCCTGTGTGTGCAGAAACAATCAGTTTTTGACCTTCGGTTACTCTGGTCCTGGGACCATTGCCGTTCACCTCATTTCATTTGATTGGTTGGTAACACCCTTTAGGATAGTTTCCTGTTATTGTACTAGCATTTATGAGACAATAGACGAGCGCATCTACCAGTGTTCGTTTTCTCATAGTGTTATTTCAACTATTGAAGGGAACTAACTGTGTCATTTCATCAATTCACCAATTCTGATAAGCTAAGGTCGATGAATGAAATTTAAAGATAATCCAACTTGCACATTCGTTGCCATCCTTTGGCGGACCTCAGTAAAACACCCTCGGGGGCTTTGATATGTAAGGAAGTTGAATAAAGTGCACTAGATAGACCATCCGAACAATATATCATGCCGGAAATGCATTCATGTTGGACTGAACCGTTTGACGGAAATCTTTTATCTTATCCGTCCATCGATAGCTAGGCACAACAGAGAGATCTTTGTACATTTATGAATTGCGTTAAACCATGTTGTTTGTCTATACATATGGAGTGGCAGTATAGCGTTCCAGAGGCACAGGAAGTATAAGATACAAATGAGAACAACCAGTGAGTACGGCGATAAAATGAAAACTTAGAAGGCAGAGCACGGCAGCCTAATGTGGCTAAGATCATGAATAAATTTCATCAGAATAGCGTGGCTCCATACACGACAAGACGGCATGGCGAAAATCTAAGCGCGAGCCCAATAAAGCACAAGGCGTTGTGTCAAGGGTCGGGAGTTGAGTTTGTTATTTAGTTTGTTGGAGGTGCCCAGCAACTACCGATCCCCAGATCCTTTAGAACTTGGGTTACCACTACTCAGAGCGTTCAAAAAGAAAGGAAACCAGCAGAATAGAAGAGTATATTAAGTCAGCAGACTTCGAACACTTTTGTATTAAGCAAACCATGAGAGTAATCCAATCCCATATCAAATGTGATCGCACAAAATGTGGACTGACGCAGGTTACTTCCAACACATCCTATAAGTAATTGCTTAACGTTCGAAAGTAAGCTATGGGAAACGAAGTGCAACCTACCGACTTGTCAAACTCAATGCACAATGGCCACAGAATTCAGGACAATGAAACGAGTAGAAAATGGTAAAGGGAGTCAGAAGAAAGTACGTGATCAACTTGGAAATATACAAGCCAAAGTAAATAACAGGACCTGACTTTATAACAGAAATATCAGTAGGATAACCCGAAGCACAGTTTGAGTATGCAGACGAAAGTTTTATTGTAGTAAGCCCTGTTGAAACATTGGTGTGGTTGAACAGGCGGGAGAGCAGTACCGCACGGTTTCACATATGCTTCGTATTTTCATAGTGTAAAGTACTGTTGTAATAGAGTGTTGACTCGACAGTAGCAGTCGCTAAGACCGAACAACCGCTTGAATTAGTTGGATGTATCATTTCTGGCGATCACGTCGCAATGGAGGACGAGGACACAGTATGTGCCGTCTAGATTCATGTGACTTTCGGAAGTTAAGTCACTTTCACGTAAGATGGAATGTCAAATTATTAATTGTGAAAATTCTTACGAGACTGTGGCATAACTTGTACTGTTTTACGGATAACAGACCAGGCTGCTGTACTATATAGAAAAAGTAGCAGAAGTAGGCTGGTACTGTGAACCGACGCTTCGCTGCCACCAGCAGTCGCACGTAGGCTAAGGGCAGTGCAAGGGTGGCCCGGTCCCCACTGAAGCACGAACCCGCTACATCGGATTACAAGGCAGGCTTGCGGTTCTTAAGGCTAGGAGCAATAGGAGGCATGCTCAGGAAGCAATGCTCGTGACCGATAACATATAATGGAGTTGCGTATGACTAACACGATCATAAAATGAAAGGAACAGGAAACGGAATAAGCATTAATAACGCTAACAGTTGCAGTGAGTCAGAAGGAAAGTTATCTCTAAGCCAATAGATTAAACTAAGTGCCAAAGGAGCAACCAAATCAGTCACACATGGAACAAAGGATGAACATGTCAGCCTGAGTGCATGTGCAACTCACACCAAGTGCCTACCGATGGTTCGGGGTATTACCGATACAGTGAAGTGAGTGTTACCTAGTTTCAATAACCTGGCCCGGTTCCGATGAATGCTTTGAGAGAAATCATTACCCAGGCTGTGCGACACTAAAAGTGAGAAACTGATAAAGTCAACATCGTCAACGCTAGAAAAATGTACTGAGTGTATGTTCCGCTCAAACAGCACCAGTTCGTT